AAGGGGAACCAAACACAACGCCATCTCCAGTTTGGAAGCACAGCTTCTGGGCGGGCTCTCTGGAGTTTTGGAATTGATGTGCATGTATTTGAAAGGGCAGGGACAGAACTTGCCAGCAGTCCGGCTGCCCCCCCAGCAAGTTTTCCTGGCCCTGATGCCCTGGGTGAGACCAGCACGGGCCTCGGGTACCTCACACACAGGCCTGATGGGTCGGGGTGTCCCGAGGGGCCGTCATTCCCACTGTTACAGGACAGGAGGTGGCTGTTCGGGTACCTCACACACAGGCCTGATGGGTCGGGGTGTCCGAGGGGCCGTCATTCCCACTGTTACAGGACAGGAGGTGGCTGTCCGTTTTTCATCCTGTGAGGCCGCCCTTGTCAGCTGGCTCAGCGAATGCGCTGTCTGCTCCACCGGGTGCCCTTCCCGGTGCTGCCTCCTCCTTTAGACCAACGAATGGGCTTATGTTGCGGTCTGGGCACTCCTGTTTCCGGCCAGCCTTGTTCCTCCTCTGTCAGAAGGGGAATGGTGCACTGCCAGTGTGGCTCAGTGGTGAGCGATGACCTATGAACCAGGAGGTCACGGTTCCATTCCTCGTCAGGGCACATGCCTGGGTTGTGGGCTCCATCCCCAGTAGGGGGTGTGCAGGAGGCAGCAGATCAATGATTCTCTCTCATCATTGATGCCTCTCTCTCCCCCTCTTTCTTCCTCTCTGAAACGAATAAGATGTATTTTTTTTAAAAAAGGAGGGGAATGATGGCTTCACTTGATTTTTTTTTGCCCAAGCTGGGCAACCCTGGTGGCTGGATCCCTCACTTTGACATAGGCTACCTTCTATCACTGTTGTCTATTACTAGTTTTTTGAGGTGCAACATACATACATTAAAATGCACATATCCTAAGTTTATTGCTTAATGGATTTCGACATATATTTAAACCCAAGTAACCACCACTTAGATCAGACATTTCCATTTCCATTACCCTGGAGGGTTCCCTCATGTCCTTTCCAAGTCAGTCGCCCCTAAAGTTAACGGTCTAATGATCTCCACCACCATAGGTGAGGTTTGACTGTTTTTTTAAACTTTATATACTATACTCGTTTGCATCGCACTTATTTTGCTTCTCGTGCATATTAGCTGTCCATTGCTATGTAAGGCATCACCCCAAAATATAGTGGCTAAAACAACAACAGTCAATTATTTTGCTCACCGATCCTCAGTTTGGGCAGGGCTAAGAGGGGATGGTTTGTCTCTGCTCCATGCAGCATCAGCTAGGGCAGCGTGACAGGGGGACGGAAGGTCCTTTCCAAGGTGGCTCACTTGCACGGTGAGCAAGCTGGTGCTGCTGACCATCAGCTGGTGGTTCAGCTGGAGCTGGGGGCCAGGCCCTCAGTTGCTCAGCATGTGGTTGTCTATATGGGGTGCTTGGGCTTCCTTACAATATGGCAGCTGAGTTCCAAGAGAGCAACCATCCCAAGAAAACAAGGTGGAGGTGCAAGGCATTTTTATGACCTAACCTCAAACTCTATTTGTTGAGGCAGCCATGAAAATCTACCCTGGATCAAGGTTGGGGGGCATAGATGATGTGAGAAGGTTCTAGAAGAGCATGGGGAATGGGAGAAATGGGGGTGGCCATTTTTGGAAAACACATTTGGCTATATTATGTTTGTCAGATTCATCCACGTTGTAATATATATTTGTAATTTGCCTTTTTTGTTGTATAATATTTCACTGTGTACATAGACTACAATTTAGTTTCTTCAGTCTATTACTGACATTTGAATTGTTTATAGTTTTGGGCTATTTAAATAGTGCTCCTGTGATTATACAGATGTTTTGGTGGACAGAGGTGGCCATCTATCATAGTTGCTGTCTCTTTAGCTTTTAAGATTTTAAAAATCAACAATTCTTATCCTCTTTTATTTTCTCTCTTTCCCATCAGTTACTGTAGCCATATGCACTTTAGTATGTAAATCTCTGCTAGTGTTTTTAAAATCTTGAAAAGAAATTATAGCAGTAATACATAAATATGTTTTCTTTATAAAAACTTTCCGTATTGCAATTAAGATTAAAGTTAACCTTGACACTCCTTGCCAAGTCGGGCCTTTCCTCCCACCCCAAGATAACCCTTGTCACCAGTTCGGGGTGGTCTCATCTAGAGCTTTTTTGGATGCATTTACACACATAAATATTCCCATAGAAAATACTGTTTTCTCTGTGTGTGTGTGTGTGTGTGTTTTGTTTGGTACAATGCATGGTATCATATGGCTCTGCAGTTCGCTTTCTCACTCAAAAAATATCTTGGAGTTATGGCCATAGAATCGCATATAGATCTACTTTGCTTTTTAAACTGCCGAATAATGTTTCATAGTATTATGATAGCGCTGCCATTTGGCCATTTTCCTATGAAAGGACGTTTAGGTTGTATCCTTCCTTGTTGTGCAGCGTGTGTCCGATGAACTGGAGGGCAGGCCTGGTACACTGTGATATTGTCAGTACTTGATCAACACAGATGCATTCCGGAGTGGGGAAGAGTTTCTGGAGCCCTGGGTCTGTGCCCCTCAATGTCCCCTCTCTCTTCCCTGCAGAGACGTCTCCGAGAGGCCGTGCAGCTGCTGGAGGACTATAAGCATGGGACTCTGCGCCCCGGGGTCACCAATGAACAGGTAACTCTGTGGGAGGTGGGGAAGGAGGGAAGTCACAAATTCCTAACCTTTTCCTGCAGCCAGACCACTCCTTTTCCCTTCAGTATCTACTTGCACTGCGACTACATACCCCTGTGGGTCTCTGGCTTTTTGGAGGGCACACTCAGGTCTCGCCAGCACCCTGAGTCCGGTGGGAAGCATGGTGGCTGGTGAGGCTAGAGAGGCCCAGAGGCAGTGGTTTGCTGGAGCTGACGTGTGTACCTCTTCCCAGTTCCACAGTCAGTGACATCATAGTGACAGCTTGAAATCAGCCACGATGGGAATATTTACACCACAGAAATTGGCAAATGCTACAAGTTAGGACTCTTCCCCCCAAAGTATTGTTTAATAATTACTTACCAGCATACTACTCCCCAAAAGTTCCAGTTGAGGGTGGGAAAGGGAGATGGATGGTGGAGATTAGGCTAGGACACTGTAATTTTTTTGAACTTTAATTTATCTTTATTGTTGAAAGTATTACAGATGTCCCTCCTTTTCCACCACTGACACTCTAATTTTTTTTAATAGTATGGAGGAACTTGAACTAGAGCTAATTGAAATATTGATGGTTGTGTTTGGTTTGGGGGAGGATAGAGGGATGTAGTATAAGGCAACTTTAATGATACAGAGAAATGATGATTAATATACTATAGTCGGTTTTTTATTCATAAACTTTATTTCAAAAACTTAAAAAATTAATTTCACATTTTTTTAAAGTAATGTGTGTGCGTAGTTCAAAAAGGCAAATAGTACTAAAATATTTGTAAGGAAAAATAGTACGCTGCTCATCATCCCTCTTCAGTTCCCATCCCTTTTCCCCAGAAGCAAATACTTTTAGCTGTCTCTTCAGATAGAAATCTATACAGTGGGGCCTTGACTTACGAGTTTAATTCGTTCAGAGACCGAGCTCATTAAGGAGCTTGTTAAGGAGCTCGTTAACTCAAATTACTCTATCAACTCAATGCAAAAAATTGGCAGAGAGACAGCTGGTATCTCAAAAAACTTGTTAGTTGGGTGGGACACTCGTAAGTCAAGGCCCCACTGTATTTCAAACTAACATGTTTATCAATACTGCTATTTCTCAACTAATTCTTTTGGGTTATCTATTATGGTAGTTGAGAATCCAGCTCTTGTATCCACCCCCATAAACATGCTTCTCTCCCCAACTCTCCTCACCATCCCAAGACAGTTGTCATGGTTTGGGGGTCTATGGATATTCAGTATTCACATTATAATTTTATAAATAACATTTACTGTAGAATCAAGTTGGTTGTATCATGACTGTGTTTTCTGTTTTTAAACTTTATGTTTTATCTGCAGTTAATGGTTGCCTCTTTTTTCCTTATTAGCATAGTTTTCTTTGTCCCATCTCTCATTCTCACTACACCCTCTAGGGGTATGTTCAGTGCCTCCTTTCAATCCTGAAGACTCCAGCTCTTCAGTTCTATTTTTCCCTTGAACATGTCCTTTCTGGGGCCCATCTCCCTCCAGTTCCGGGCCTTCCTTTTGGTGTTTGCACACTTCCATTTTGGTGGAATAACTCTTCCAGTAGCTTTCTGAAAATAAATAAATGAATAAATGGGAAGAAAATTTTGAGTACTTTTATTTCTGAAAAATTGTGACTCTGCACTCAGCCTTAATTGACAGTTTGGCTGAGGAGAAAATTCTAGCATGACAATCATTCTCCTTCAGAATTTTGAAGACATTACTTAGTTGTCTTCCAGCTTCCAGTATAGCGGTTGAAAAATCCATGCTGTTTTATTCCCGATTCTTTGCAAGTGACCTCTTTTCACTCCTTGGAATGTTTAGGGCCTTCTCTTTATACAATTTATTTCTGAAATCCCACAGTGCCTCTTTTTAAAAATTCCTGATTCAGGATTCTTGGTGACTCCTTTCAGTCTGAATACTCCTCTCTTTCAGTTCTGGCAAATTTTCTCAGCCTGTTTATTTAATAATTTCTTCTCATTCTGAAACTCCTATCAGCAAATATTCACATCTCAGATCAAAACTCAGGATTTCATTTTCCGTGAGCTGTTTGACTGGTTTTATTTATTTATTTATTTATTTATTTTTAGAGATATATACTTTTTAGGTAGAGAGACAAGGAAACATCAATGTGAGAGAGACACATCAATTGGTTGCCTCGAGATAGAAATCAATGATGAGAGAGACTCATCAATCTGCTGCCTCCCGCACGTCCTCCACTGGGGATCGTGTCCTTAACCCAGGCATGTGCCCTGAACGGGAATTGAACTGTGACCTCTGAGTTCATAGGTCAGTGCTCAACCACTGAGCCACGCCGGCTGGACTATTTATTTATTTTTTAATAGAACCCTCTTCCTGTTTTGTGAATACAGTGTTATCTCATGTCTCCAAATTCTGGGAGCCAAGGAGGGGAAGGAGGCTGGGGTCCCAAAACTCTCTGTAGACTTTCATGATCTCCCTGCATTTAGCCTCACCTACTCCCACCTTCCACTGTGCTAGTGTTCCCAACTTTGGAGTCACTATACTTCAGTGTCTCCAGAAGGCTGGTGGCCTTCAGCATCTGCTAGGGATGCAGGTGGGGGTGGTCAGAGTCACCTTGCTGTGCGGAGAAGGTCTGGGTTATTGCAGCTTTGAGGACAGACTTTCGATCGATCCTTGTGATCAACCCCTTTTTCCTGTGGTCCCTGGTCCCTTTGAGTTCTTAGCTTTGGAGTGATGGGCTGGCTCCTTAGGCATGCCCTCTTCAGGCATTAAGGGGATGTCTTCCTCCTCTCTGCTGGGTCAGTTACTGAAACTCTACTCATCTTCCATCCAAACACATGTTGCTGTCCCTCCTCTGCTGCTGTCTTCTCTTCCATTATTTTGGTAATGATGTGCGCACTGCCCCTCCTCCCTCTAACACCTTCAGGCGCAAAGCCCACGCTGAGGCCCTGTGCTGCCACCCGACACACCAGTGCCTGGCAGGGTGTCCTGGGGGCAGGCGGCTTGGCCATCAGCCCTCCCATTCCAGTGCACTTCAGTGCGCCTTTAGGGGGCATCTACAGGCCAGGCTTGGTGCCAGGGCCCAGGGGACAGACCAGGGAAGACGCTGGAGCAGGGTCTTGCTTCATGGACTCCCCAGAATCTAGGCAACAACAGTGAAAACACGATACTGTGGGAGAGCAGAGGAAGGAGGGACCCAGACGGGCTTCTGGAAGAGATTTCTGTCCGGAGATGTGAGGGGTGAGAAAGGACTGTGGAGAGAAGGCGCTGACAGGAAGCAGTGCAGATAAGGGAGCACACGGTGAACACAGGGAGAGCAGCCCCTGAGGAAGTGGCAGATGCGCTCTACCCGGCCCAGCTACGAAGGGCATGTGCATGGTGGATGCAGCACGTTGGCCAGGTGTCCTTGTGCAGGGCTGTGAGGGTGGCGGAGACGGTGCCGTGCTTGGCTGGGCAGGAGCAACCTCAGGCATCTGAGTTGAGTTGGGGGCTGCAGTCAGCAGGGAGGGCAGGCCTCCATCTCCTCATTCCTAGCCCAGAACTTCTTTCCAGCCATGGGTCCCGGGGAGCCTGGTGGCATGTCCTGGCAGCTCCTCTCCAGTCCTGGGCCTCCTTGTTTTCTGTCCTGAAAGCCTCCATGTACCTCCAGGGATGGGGGAGAGGAGGCGGGGGCTTCTGGCACCGGCTTTGCTTCCCTTTCTGGCTCATGTTGGTGAGGTCTGCAGTGTCCCTCTGCTGGCTCACTGGCCCAGCGCTCCACCGGTGGACCTGCCCCCAATAAGCAGATCCTCCCTCTCCCTCCCTTCCCATCCTCCCAGGGCATCGGGACTAGGCTCTGGGGCAGCCCTCACACGGCTTCTTCCCTCCCTGGACCGCCGTTTGCAAAGCCATACCTGCCTCTGGCCTCTGTAGGCACAGGAACGAGGGGACAGGTGATGACATTTCAGCTCAGGATTTGGGCAAACCTCAGCAAACTGGGATGAAGGACAGTCCTGTTCCTGGTCCTGGCTGGCCCTGCTCAAGCATCACTTCTGTGGCTTCTGAGAGGCCCAGGTGGTTCTTCATCTCAGTCTGGACAGTGGCCTCATCTGCTCCCAGGCGCTGGGCCTGCTCTGATGTCCTTCTGCAGGCGTGAGGGTCAGAAGCCTGTGCCTGTGTCCTGATACCTGTGGGCCTGTCCTGATGGCACGGACAGCACTGGGCACCTGCGTGCCAGCTTGTTATGTAACCTGCCCTCCAGTTACAGCACCTCGCCAGTGGGCATACCCTGGTAGATGGACGGTTTGTTTGCACCCGATGGGCCTTAGCTTGGTTGTCTGTTAGTGAGGGTTGGTATCTCCTCCCAAGACTGTTAACTTGTTTTTTTTTTAATCCTCACCTGAGGATATATGAGTGTGTTTTTTTAAAGTGATTTTAGAGAGAGAGGAAGGGAAAGAAAGAGAGAGAGAAACATGGATATGAGAGAAACAGTGATCAGTTGCTTTCCGTACGTGCCCGGACCAGAATCAAACCAGCAACCTAGGTATGTGTGCCGACCGGGAATTGAACTCATAACCTTTTGGTGTATGGGATGTCACTCCAACCAATTGAGCTACCCGGCCAGGGTGACTGTTAACTTGTTAAAAGTTTGCTACACCATGAATAATTAGTCCGGAGGATAAAAATAATTATAATTTACCCTTTGGGCTTAACAGGTGGAAATTTGGTATGCCAGGAGCCCTAATAAGGACTGTAGCTATCACTTAACGAAGCCATAGATGAGAGCGACAACGTAAGTAAAGGCAGTGAGGTTTCTGGGGCACGGCCCTGCTGTGTGCACTTTATGTGCTGGGTGGTTTCACATGGATGCAGATGGGTGTGGTTAAATATGGAAGGACCCCCCACCCCCGCCCCCATGGTAATGAGCCAACACTCACTGCATGCCAACCAAGTGCCAGGCACCATGTCAAGTACTAGCACTTGACATCTATTACCTCCATTAGTCTTTACAGGAACCCTGCTTGGTGGGTACCTAT